AATTATTTCTGGATATTCAAAATCGATCCATAATTTATTGATTTTATTACTGGTGATGGGAAATTCAATATTTTTACTGTAGAAACATCTACAGTAAACATAAACTGTATTTATGTGGTATGAGTGAGCGACAAATACTTATCAGAAACCACAGTGGTTGTGAGGATATTTTTCACAAAAATCGGCTGTTTCACATTGACGGGAGTGCCCAGGGTTGATTTATATGGCACAAATTGTTCCATCAAAATTTTTGACGCGTGAAATTATTTTTGTGGAATTTCAGTTTGAAGGTATTTCAAAATCTGGGGCCAAGAGGAAAATATAGAACATGTTTACAATCGATGATTTACAGTGTTTCAAACATACTTTCGCTTAAGCTGCGTTTAAGAAGAGAAAAGCAATAAAATTTCTAGGGAGGGTGAGGAGAGGATACGCCATCTCTCTTGGGTGAATGGACACCTCTGCCAATTGAGGCCTTGTGTTGCTTTCTATTATGTAACCTGATTACAAAACAATGCGGTAAAAGTCTGTTATCTGTTACATAATTTGTAAACAAGTAAACAAACATTCCAAAGGAAAAATTAAATAAATAAATAAGGGCAAGAGGTCACCTTTGCTAGGCTACTATATGTAGTATGAGTTGGATGGGAATAGTTTTAAGAAATCCTGTAGATATTCCACAGTATTTATTAGACAGGTTCATTAGGATTTTTCAGAAGGATAAATTTGGAAGGTAGGGAAGGGGAAGGTGGAAGGGAGTGTGTTAGTGGGATAAGACAATTAAGTACCTGTAGGAGAAAGAGTCCTGTAAGGATGAAACGAAGCATAGTGTTCTTCTGGAGCGAGTGTGCCGATTGATCCTGATGGAACACCTATTTATAGAGGACGAGCATGTCTCTCCTCGGAGGTCACGGGCCTCACCTGATAAGGACAACGCTAATCTCTTCTTGGACGTTGTTGCATAGTGCTGGGTCAGGAGAACACCCCCTCCCTCATCTTATCGCTCCATCTGGATGGTTCTCGCCGACGGTCGTTACGTCATCCCAAGGAAAACCGAATTCCATACGCTTTTCTGGATCTGCGGTTTGAATTGGGACGGATTAAATACAACGGAGAGCCCGCAAATGTTACTCCGAAACGGGTTGTGATAACTTATCTCTCAGCCAGGATTCCCTATCGTACAAGAAAATCAGATTGTAGTATTGTAGAGTAAGCGTTAATCGCGTATCGATATCACGAATTGTCTTGGGTTAGCGACATTATATTTCGGATTGTCTAGATACATGATATAACTTCTGAACGCACCCCTATCTTGTGAAAAAGATTCAAGATATTCTTATTATGGAAAATATTGTATTTTAATTACTAAATAACGATTGATTTTACTACGATACATCAAAACATACATAAGCATTATGATAAGGAAAACAAGATGTCATTAAAGTTTAAGCACTAAACTGAGTCATAATATTAATATATATATATATATATATATATATATATATATATTAGATAATATATATATTAGATAATTTTCTAATATATATATATATTAGAAAATTATCGATGACAAAATGAGAAAAGTCTGATCCATCCTATAACAGATGAAACGTTTAAAAATTATGAGAAAAAATATTATTAAATGATTTCGAACAGACTTTACGCCGTTATTGTTCCTATCTACTTTTTTATATTTACCATGTTCTTCCCTAATTTCAAAGTTTTCAAGGATATGGTATTGATGGTCTCAGCCTAAAAAACAATTCGAAAAAACGTTGAATTTTTAAGAAAAGTGACGTTAAAGCTGCTTCTATTATAAGTTTCAAGGGAATGAATGAATGTATGAAAATAAATTTCATCCTGGTACACTCCCTTATAATAGTACAAGAAGATACTTTCTAGCTTTTAAATAATAAATTATACAATCGAATCATAAAATTATGAAAAATGAAATAAAGAAATGTCCTAAGTGGATAAATTAAACACATACGAGCCTACATGGATCGATCTATATGTAAAGTATTTTACTTGTCGCCACCAAATATGAATATAATATATGAAATAAGCAATCGGAAAAAAAAATATTACAAATATGTGGAAGATTGGTAGCTGAGGAGATGGAGAATTTTTTGCTGTTTAAAGCAAGTTAGAAATGAGAATGGAAATGGATTAAGAAATCTAAGACGAAGTCATGTGAAAGACTGTGGGTTTTTTTAAAAGATGCAGTTTTTTAAGAAGCAATGTACAAATTCATGAGTTGTGATCTAGGGTTATTAAGCATGAATAGAATATACCTTCAATTTTTTTTTTTTAAATCTATTTTTTAATTATTTAATTTATTTGTTTTTAATTTATATATTTTTTGAATTCATGTTTACAAAATATCGGTTTCCTATATGACTGGAGAAAATTTTAATTCAACTAAATGATTTTTAGATAAGGAATATTACTTTAAATCTTTATTTTTTGAGGAACGGATGTATTAATTTTTGGTAGAATCTTCCTCAATTATTGAAGAATGATATCAACCACAACCAATAAAAATTGGTTAATAAAATTTTAGTAAAATTTATATTCAAACTTACTTACCTTTCTGATTCGTTTAAATTAATTCTGTCGTTTGATTATCACTTTATTATTTAAATGTTTTATCGAAACCATATTTATTCACAATCAATGACCAAATGTGATTCCAAATCACCTTTTTCAGTCTTTCCAACTAATTTTATTATTAAACTGTTATACTGTTCGTTGATTGAAAATCCTTTCCAAGCGAAACGTGCTAAAGAAGTGTTATTTAAGCTTAACGCTTCTATTCCATAGTATAAACTAATACTGATTTCATCTATCATTCCATCAAGATTTATCAATTCTTGAAACTTAGTAATAAAATTTGTTTGATAGATTGAAAAAGGCAGTTGATTTAGAGTCTTCCATTTTTAACATAATTTTTACACTACGAACACACACTTCACTATTTTCTTCTTTCAAAATGTTTTTCTTATTCCAAACGTGTATGTGGTAGCAAATATTTTCTTAGTTGTTTATGATTTATTTTCTTGCAGTTTTTCTTAAAATTTTATTTTACTTATTCATTTACTTCCTAAATTTTCTTTTCTTATTCATTAGGACTCAGTTATTAAAACAGAAAAGATTTGCATGATAAAGACTCGAGTGCATTAGCAACTATCAGTCATTAAAAGTCTTTTTCGGAGATCATATTTTTTAATACGAGTTTCTGTTGAGGCTTCATGCATGTCCATGTTGTCGAATATTATAGAACAGACAGCATTTTAATCTCCATATTTTTTATTCTTCCAGTTCGAAGATTTTGCTTTTTAGTCATTTGCGGATGGCTTGTTTCCTTCACCTCTTCTCTACCTTTGATCATATCAATGATATTATCGGACTTATATATATTTATTATCAAATCATTATATCCACTGTCGGCTGTAGGCTCTGCATCTGCAAATAAACGAATAAGAAAATTTATTTTAAAAAAGTTATGTAGTCTAACAGAATAATAATAAAAAAATGTCTTATTATAATAAATTTAAAAAAAAATTCAATTCATGAATAATTATTGTTCCTAGTAGAATAGATTTGAAATTTATGATACTCTGTTTCTAGCTTTTAAATTAAATGGTACTTACAAAAACCTTTCGATTGAAAATTGAAAATGGGATACCAATAAAAATTAAAAAAAAATAATTGAAACACCTGTTGGTCTTAATGCTAACAAAGTAAGATATTATTGCAGTTTCATAAAAGTTTTAATATCATTTCAGAATCGAGATTGAAGGAAAAAAAAGAGAAAATGAAATTCTAAAAAAACAGTCAACAGTCCTGTGAATTATTAAATAATTAATAATTTTTGTAGAACTTAAATTGATATCTATATGTTAGTTTTAAATAACACCAAATGTATGACAATATGGACAAACGATAGTTATCAAAGAATTTACAGATTTTTTATTACAATAAAATCTTGAAATGATTCATCTGTTAGCTTGTTTCTTTTATGTAATTTAATATTAAAAATATTAAATAATTAAATTACATTTTTAATTAACTAACAGTTATTTACATTATAAAAAGTATATTCAATATACCTTAAATAGATATATGGTTTAACTTTTAACATTAAATTTATTTTATCAAGCTATCATCTTGATAAAAAAAATCAAAATAATTTATTCCTTACAGTTTTTTTGATCAACTGATTACTGTTTGTTGAATGATTTATTTACTGAATAATTTATAATTACGCAATTAGAAATAAATTGATATAATAAATCGGACTTATTTCCATTTTTTGATTTCTTTTGGAATTATTAAAAGTAAAAGAATCCATTTCTAGCCAATTTATTTTTATTCAAATTGGGGGAGCCATTTTTAATATGAGTTTTTGTATTTGCATTGAGGTTTTAATTTTCTTTTATGTGTTTTCTTAATTTGGGGGCGCCTTCTGAGACATTCGTATATGAAATATTAAAAATTGATATTTCAGATAGGTACAGAAGGTATATTCATTTTTCCGCCACTTCACACTTCCAATTAATGTCTTAGCAGGAAAACAAGGGTTTGTGTTTATATTTTCTTTATAGGGAAATTTAGGTTTCTGAAAAGTGGGAAGGTTATTGAAATAAAATTGCAGTTAAGCTTTTATTAAATTGTATTCTGTGTCCTAACATTATTTACTGTTGTACAATAAAATCTGACATCTGACATATGAGGATTTACATTTGGACTTAACTAAATAATTTCCAAACTTATTTTTTATTTATTTTATTAAGAGATTAATTATTGTTTAATATTAACTAGTCGGCCATCTTACTAACCTGTCGCTGGATGATGGCTGGTACAACAGTGGCAAGATACTGAAGAGGAGATACCCGGCCTGCCTCAGGGCGAACAACCTCAAACCGTCCCTTATCACTCTTCAGCTGCTATCAATATTTTGGAGTGAGTCTGTCAGCAACTTCTCCTCAACAACCCCATCCAATATATATAAACCCTCCATGCTCCAGAGATCAACATCAGTTTTCACAACTGCCCATCATGTTCAAGAACGTCGCCCTCTTCTTGGTCGGCCTCCAGGTGAATGAGATTATTCAATCGCATGTTAGATGTCGAACTTCATATTTGTCTCGCGATCTCCTTCAGCTAGGAATATTGATAGTTTTCTCAAATTGGAGATTCAAAAAATGCTTAACTTATAAAATCACTTGAGGAATAACAGCAATAAACACACATTTCAGTATTACAAAGAAAAAATAGATATATATAATATTAGCTTTTATTTTTATTGATTTTGTTCGAAAACATAAAAATTAAGAACTTTGTTCACTCCAATCGTTGATAGCTTTTGGTATATTATACATTGTGCCGCGTTGGTATTCTTATGATCCATCTTAACATCGGTTTCTTATGTATTATTGATTCTCTAACAGATATGCTTAAATGTTATTAATAGAATTTTAAGTTAACTATGATGATATATTTCATTTTTATCAATAGCAGAACATTTAAGTTACGAGTTTAATATTATTTTTCCTACCATTTATATGTAAAAGGTAAAATGACTAGTTCTTTTTCTTAGGTCTTAGGTCCTTTTTTAAATATTTATTTTAAGTAGCCTCATGTGCCAGGGTGCCGATTTTAAACCTGAATTCTAATAGGCGTATGTTCAAGATATTATTATCCTATAAGTTTAACAGTAATTATCAGATTTGGAATCATGAAAAATATTTCAACATATTTGTCTTAATATCTGTTCTAGCTGGTCTGTGCCTCCCCAATCCTCTCTGGATGTGGATGTGGATCCACTCTCCTTTCTGGCTCATCCTACGCCGAAGGTCTCCCAGCTTCCCTCCCAGCTATCTCTGAAAGCCTCCCAGCTGTTCTCCCAGCTGCCTCCGGAGTCTGGACTGACGGTTACCACGGTGCTGCCTGGACCGACGGTATCCACCACTCTGCTGCCTGGACCGACGGTATCCACCACTCTGCTGCCCCAGCCCTCTTGAGTGATGGTATCTCTACCGCCGGCCCCGTCTACAGCGGTGCTGAACCCGGTGAATGTTTGACCCACCGCGTCGAGCGTGTTGTCAAGCCCGTAGTAGATGAGTGCGTCACCAACGTACCAGTCGTCAGGAAGACCATCAGGAACCAGGAAGAGTCTTACACCCGCCACGTTCCAGTCGTACACAAGTCCATCCAGAACACTGAAGAGAAAATCGTCCGTCACGTTCCAGTAACTCACAGGTACAGCCGCCCAGTCGTTGAGACCCGCACCCGCCACGTCCCAATCGTCAAGACCAGGACCCGTACCGTCATTGAACCATACACCGTCCACGTTCCAGTTACCGACCGTTTCACCCGTGGAGTCGAAGAGTCCGTCACCCGCCACGTACCTGTTGTAGAACGCCGTTGCAGACCCGTCGTCAACGAAATCCACCGTACCGTCCCAGTCGTAGAACGCCGTTGCAAGCCCGTCGTTGAGACCCACACTTCCGTCGTCCCAGTCAGGAGGAGGTTTGTCAAGCACCTCGTTGAACAGAAAGTCCGTGCTTTCCGTACCCCCCTTCCATCCCCATGCGGTCCATACGCTGAGCCCCTCCTCTCCTCCGCCCCAGGAGTCACCGTCTCTGGAGCTCACTACGCCGACGGAGCCATCCTCTCCCACGGCCCAACCTTCTCCTCTGCCCCAGCTGTCTCCATCTCTGGAGCTCACTACGCTGACGGAGCCATCCTCTCCCACGGCCCAGCTTTCTCTGCCCCAGCTGTCTCCGTCTCTGGCGCTCACTACGCTGACGGTACCGTCCTCTCCCACGGCGCAGCTATCTCCTCTGTCTCTGGCGCTCACTACGCTGACGGAGCCGTCCTCTCCCACGGCCCAGTCGACATCTCCGGCCCAGCTCCAATCTACTCTGACGCTCTCCCAGCTGCCCTCCCAGCTGCTCTCCCAGCTGCCCTCCCAGCCCCATGCGGCCTTGCTTACTAAAAATTGTCTAGATAACGATTTTTAACTAGCTAGTAGGTCATAGTTTTATTTTTTTACTGATTTTTTTAAAAAGCTTTGTATAGTCCCACGGACAGGTTAGACTGCACATTCATAATTGACTTGTTGCGGTGGGAATCACAAAAATACTTCATTTGAGTTAAAATGTAAAAAGTTTTATTTTAATATGATTTTTTTACGAGAATAAAGAAATTTTGCAATCATATATGTTATCTTAATCATCTTCTTTCCTGAAAATCATTATTTATTGATTTATAATTGTATGTAAACCAATTATAATTTATTTAATATTAGGAATACTATTTATTTTATAATTTTCTTTAATTATAATTAATCATCATCTGCTGATTGTCACTTTCATGGCAGGAATCAAAAGATCAAGAGAGGAAAAAAAAATAATATGTTTATATATGTATATAAACAAAGTGGAGCCTCTTTTCCGCTTTAGATTTTTTTTAGATTATTATGTTTAAAGGTTTATGAAGATAATATTAAAGTAAGGTTGCTATACAAACATTGAACAAACATAAATAATCATTAACTTTGATGTTAGTAAATATCATGAAGTTGTTATAAGATCTTATTATTTACTTCATAGAATTATATTATTTATACATTTATTACTTCATAACAGTTTATATCAATTTAAACAGCGTAACAGTTAAGGTTTCTGATGCTAATATTTCAACTGCTATTGGATTGATAAAATGTACAATGGTTCATATCAAATGTTATTAATAAATAGAAGTTACGAAGGGCGTCGTCGAATCACTAATAAGTTTCTTTATAATAAATATGAGAGGTTGAAATAAATGTATACAAAATTGAATTAAATAACTAGGTATGTGGTTATTAAGATTCAAAAATGGTTAAGAATATCGTTTAACATTCTTTTCTTTCCTTCGATGACTATAAAGTATTATTCTTCAATTTAAAAACATCGTTTTTATTTTATTTTTTTTGCTTTTAAGGTTATTAAACTATAATTAGAAAAAAAAAATTGTAATCACTAAAAACGTCGGAGTGTTATAGCTACGCACGTACCAGAAGAAAGTTCTGAAATTAATTCGAATCTGTTTATTCATTGGTGTCTAACTAACTAGGTAGGTTTTTAAAAATATCGTTAATATAAAAAAAAAACGTATATGCTCTAGGTATAGATGTTTCTTAATTCCTACTTATTATTAGCTACTTTTTGTATTAATATAATAGAATATTAACTAATTTTTCTAAGATCTGCATAAGTATTGAATCAAAAGTTTGCCCGTTAGTTTCGAGCAACATCAAATGTGACCTATTCTATGCTATAAATATTGACTTAACAGAGCATATTTCTGATTATGTGATGTTATATTTTTATTTATTATTATTATTGACTTTGTGCAAGAATTTAATAACAGGATCAATTCAAAAGCAACTTAGGTAGGACACTAAGTAAAAATTATTGCTGAATAAATATAGAGATTGGAATATAGAGCCAATTATTTATTTATTTAATAATATTATTTTCAAGTTCCTTTTGCTATGATTCAGTTGTCACTTTAATCTATTACGGTCTTTTTTTTTTTTTTTTTTTAGATTAGTATATTCTATCAATATTCCTAACCTCGAATTCATCGTTTTGAGATCTATTAGTTCAAGCTCTGTGGCATACGCTGTCTTCAATTTTTTCTGAAAACATTTCTTGAAGGATTTTTATTCATCCGCCTTATTATTTTTGGTACAAAAAATAATTTTAAAAAATCAATAGTAATTGCTGAAAAACATGATTATAATGAGAGATCTTGTAGTGAGCCCACAAATTAATGGCTAATCTATGGAAGGGTGAGGGTAGATAGATAGGATGGAAAATTGGAGAAGTGGGTACGGCCTTAAATTTACTGTGGGAATATTATAACTGTTCTTTGCTAGGTTATGTCCCATTTCATATTCATCATAATTTTTATATATATCTGGAATTCTGTACACAGCTAAAATATATATTATTCATTGAGGGTCAATTACTCATGTATTCCGATTCTGTTGACTTCAGCGAAAACTTTTGTCAGGCTTAAATGATCTACAATCACTGATTCTGTGGTTAGTGGGAAAGTAATGTAGCATCTCTCAAGTCACCAGCTTCACAATATTTTTATCTGCAAAAGAAAAAAATGAATCAATAATAGCTTAATAAATATGATTTTTATTCGGGCGAGCCCATACAAATGGAATTGAGTTTTCTCTCTCTCTCTCTCTCTCTCTCTCTCTCTCTATATATATATATATATATATATATATATATATATATATACATACACACACACAAATATTTATGAAAATTTACATAATTATGATATCTATATAAATACATCAATAAGAAAAAATAATGAAAATAAAACGGGATCTATATAAATATAAACAAATGTTCAAATTGATAAAACTGCTTATTCTTGGATAAACAAAAAAAAGTTTCTTAATTTAAAAAAAATCATTCTACATACCAAATCAATCATTGAATTTGTATTTATTTTCTATATGTAATAGTCGTGTCATTTTTGCTTTATCGTCAGAATTGTCATCAATATGTTTACATAAATATGTAGGACAACGCAGCAGAAAATGGTATAAATCTTCAGGTTCACGTGTATTACAAATGCGGCATTCAACGCGCCTGGTCTAAATAACTATTTCCAAAACGTAAGAAATTACTTACCTAGGTTGGCATAGTTTTAATTGGCGCCTTAATTTTTAAATAATATTTGCCTAAAGTGGAACTAATAAATTTTCTTAATATTCAAATGAATATCATTAAAAATGTTAAAACCCAATAAATAATACATGCTAATGAAGAAATGATATAGGACAAAACCTAATTTATTGATAAAAGAAATTTCTCAAATAGCGATTACCATTTGTTCACTGACCAATAAACAATAAGAATAATTCTCACGAGACAACTAGTGTATTCATAATTATGTTTCTTTTATTTATTTCTTTTATTTATTATATATATATATATATATATATATATATATATATATATATATATATATATATATATATATATATATATATATGAAGCTGGAGTAGCCGCGCAGTCTAAGGGGCCTGCAATAGGTAATCAAAGTAAAGCAAAGCACTTGGATGGGTGATCGTCCACCAGGAAAAGCCACGCTGCCCAAGATCCCCCACTCCCCCGAGTTTATGAGAGCCGTCAGCCTACTGGATTTAACTCACACCGACCGAGCGTAGGGCAAATGACCCTAACCCCGTGTACTTAAATCGGGAATCGGAATGTAGTATCGAGAATAGCGTGTGAAGTATTAACATGGCATAGCGAAAAAAAAACTTTTGAGAAATAGTATATGAAGATATAGAATGCGAATGTTAAATCTTTAACTTATCTTAACTACAATGCTGTAGTTGCCTCCATAGTCTAAATAGTGCTTGGAATTAGTCTCCTGTATTTATGGAAAATCATAAACCACAATAATATATAATCATATATATATATATATATATATATATATATATATATATATATATATATATATATATATATATATATATATCATATATATATATATAATATATATATATATATATATATATATATATATATATATATATATATATATAATCATTCTATCTAGTACAGCTTTCCGTAAATTTAGTTTGCAGCTATTATAAGTATAGAGCAGTGACGAAAATTTAAGTAGAATTGGGATCGATTAAAATAGATTCCTTTTCGCATGGACTTTACGTTATATGTTGACTTGTTTAGATTGAATATTGGTATTGAAATTGAATATTAAAATCATTATGTACTTGTACTATACTTTACTGATGCCAAAGTACTATAAGTTCTCATCTTTTAAAAAAGAACTCTATTCACCAAAAAAATTATTAGTATAATGACATCAAACTGAAGACGCATTTTATTATTATTATAATTATTTTTTTTTACATATAATAACATGTTTACATTGGCTTAAAAAAAATTCATCTCAAATTACCAAAAAAGTAATTACATAAATAAATTTTTTTTAAACTGAAACTTCAGTGTATAGACAAGACCATCTTTTCCATATTGCCAGGTCAAATTATTATCAAAAAATAAATTTTTGATGGTTAACAAAATAACAAATAGATAAACAAGATCGTTACTGTGATTATTTTATAAAGGAAGTTTAATCAATATGATATTAGTTAGTTGGTAATTTGTTTTGTTTTAGTTCGTAATCAGAGTGAACGACACGAGAAGATATCCGAGTTCAAAATGAAACCAGAGATTTTGAATGAAACTTTTTGTAATTATGATGGAATGAAAGAGAAATTTCTGTATTATGGTCACTTGTGCTTACTCCATGACTTTCCAGAAAAGGGAATCAGACGTGCCTTGTTAATCCTCGGCTAAAGTTGTAAACCTCCGAGCTGACAAAAGTCAGCGACCAACGTTTCTTCCTACAGTTTTTATCTCATCTTTTTACAGGAAAGTTCACTCCTAATTTTAGGGTGTTCTTCTGTCTGTAATAAGGCTGGAGGATGTTGCTGTCTACACCTGCCTGTGTTGGATGTCCGACAATATTGGTAAATAAGTCACTAAGAAAATATTTTATATGTCTTATTAACGATAAGGTTGTGATTTTGTAAGTCGTTCTTAGACAAATATACATATATATCTAGTAATACCCCCCATCCCTCCTAAATAAGTCTCTGTTTCAATTTTTTTCAAATAAAACACCATTTTTTATAATTATTTTTTAAAATATTTTATAGAGTAATATAACATTCTGTTACAATATGAACAATGTTAGTTATGAGGAAAGATTACATTCACGCAATGTTTACAGAAAATATGAATAAACAAAACAAAACGGAAGCAAAGTAACATCTAATTAATAATTAAAATGTATATACAATAAATAAAATTAAAATAATTTTAAAAATAAGTAAAGTAAATTAACACAGACATTCCTTCATATACAATTGGACAAGGGAACTCCGAATTATATTGTTGGAGAGAAGTATGGGACTCCACGAGATCACTGCGCTACTCTCTCAACCCTGTCACAGATATCTTACAATTTTAAATATGACGTTTAAAAACTAAAGCCATTCTAAAGTAGGTAAACATTTTCAACACAGCAAATTCATTCGCATGTTTATAACATTAACTATATTAAGAGATATATCTATACACAGAATATTTATAACTATTAACTATACGTACACTTTTATGTCAGTATACTACGTTACTTAGTAATTATTTGACATTTCCCATGCCAATATTTTTCTTCATTTGCTTTTATAAAAATAAAAATGCGTCTTAATAAAAATAAAAAAAAAATTAAAAAATTAAAAAAACGTAAGCTGATTCTAACTATTGAATTTTATGTTTACATGAAGAGCATTTATAAAATGTTAGGTTATGATTGGAAAAATTCCAAACCATACAGCCCGCATGTCTCCAAAATACGAGAAAAGAAAAACCCATCAACATTTCGCCAATTCAAGCATTATCAGGACAGAAAAACAGCTAATAGAACATCACTCCATG